TTGGCATATTGATCTTCTGGGCACTGGAAGCAGTCATCCATATCTAGGAAAGCAAATAGACATAGTTCAGTTAAGATACATGGGAACTTTTCTAATAATAAAAATAATATCGATAATAGATGATGATGATGATGATGATGATGATGATGATGATGATGATGATGATCATGATCATGATCATGATCATGATTACTAATACTACTACTATGCAACCAATATATTAAGCAAAGTTGGTATGAATTGCTTTTTGACAACAATCTCAGAAGATGCAGTTTCATACCAAATAGCACATACTTATTAAAGCCATAACATCTTACATGCCATACTATGGAATTACAAGTTATGGAATGAACAAGGTTCATGGATTTTAACTTCCTTAGCCTTTTCCTCTTAAACTAAAGAAAGTTTGACAGAATGAGAACAGGGTAGATTAACTTTTTGTTGTTGTTGTTGAGGGTTGGAACATTCGGTGGCAGAGGGGACTATTTATTTATTTAATAGTCCATCACCATAGACCCTTAACAGCTCACAAGTAAGAAAAACAAATAATATCATCATCATAATTTAAAAGAGGAATACACATAGAGCCCAAAACAATACCTGGCATCAAACCTAAATACCCTATGGAAAAATTCAATTTTCAGGTGTTTCTGGAAGGTGGATAAAGTTGGAGCCCAACAAACATACCACAGAGGCTTATATGGAGAACCAACCCCATTGCAGAAAAACAGCATCTCCTGACTTCTGACTTCCCTGAAAAGGGACAGAGCAAGCTGCTTCCCCCAAGATTAAAGCAGGCAGTCTTGGGCTTCAGGGTTTAGGGATCATAGTCTAGAGGAGAGATTTCCTAACATTTTACTGGAAACTGTGGTTGGCATCTTCAGAGGCAAGGGAGTCTGCTCTACAACCCGAAGGAAACTGAGGAGGGACTGACTGGGCTCCTGTCCTTCCAACCAGATGTCCTAACTTCTGATTTTAGCCAAGGTGCTTTCTGATTGCTGCAACACAGACCAGCAGTGAAAGTCTATGCTAGTATAAGATTAAAGTAGCTTTTTCCTGCTGTGTTGGGAATACTTTAAAATGTATATAGAGTCAAAATGTAAAGGAAAGCCAAAACCAAAATTATATATTAGGAGTCACCCATTGGGGAAGATGGGCAGCATATAAATTTAATAATAAATAAATAAATAAATATATTAGTAATATGAAAACATGATATATGTATGAAAATATGGAAAAATATGGAATGTAATGTTTTTTTAAAAACATATATTTAATAATAACCCCCTTTATCTCATTAAAATGTGTAATTCAGCTGGTGTCCAGATCCCTTGGGCAACCTCGACGCTGACGGAAATTTCCTAGAAATTCAATATGGCATGGTAAAGATAGATTTTTTAAAATTAATTTTTAAAATTAATTATAACACTACAGCTAAAGCTGTTTCTGCCAGTTGATACCATCTGGCATTTAAAGCTGATGCTCCACTTTATACCCTCTTGGATTCAAAACCTGTGCCCTCTTTTTCATTGCAAAATGATAAGCTTGCTTTCTGATTCCCACAATTCAATCTAAATGGCAGTTGCCTGTTGACATTCTTTTCATCCTGGCCCTTGAAAAGTTTGATCTAATCCTCCAAAAGGCATCTATGCATGAAGGGCTCTGGAAGAAAAAAAAGTCAATATTTGGGTGGGGGGATGTAATTCTCGGGCTGCATTTTCTGCACAGCACATATTTAATGCAGAACAGCCTATAAGGAAGATTAGAATGTGCTGACTATGCACCAATCTTTTCCAATTACATGTCAAACCTGGAACCCAAGGGAGGCAAAGACTCAACGTCTTTTTTGGAAATCTTTGGCAGACAGCAAGATAAAATAGTTAGGTGTTCTTGAGCCATCCTTCATCAAAAACTGCCTTTTTTCTCATAACTCTGTGGGGAAATCACCTAGCTGAGAGGAAAAAATTGAATGTGGCTATCTCAAAATATGCTGAATAATAAATAATATTTTTAGCTATTTCTCTGTAAGACTTAATTCAATGCACATTTTTGCATATCTGTAGGTAACGTTTTCAGAAAATTTAAGTTGTTTTATTTTATTTTATTTCTGAACAAAAATTAGTATCCTGTCATGGGATTTTAAGATTTCCTGGATCATGGAGAGTTCAAATATATTACTTTCTAGATAAACATTAACATCAATTCTGGGGCACGTTCCTAAAAGGAGTTAGTAATATAAGAGAAACTTAAATTCTTATTAGGTCGCTTATTAAGAATTCCCGAACATATTTTTCCTTGATTAGAGATTTTTTTAAAAAAAATAGAATGGATTTGTAAATTTGGGATGAATTTGGGAATTTGGGACAATTTGTACAAATGTCCAAAATTTTAATTTGGATGAAAAGGTGGGGGGGGGGGAGAGCAAGAAATCTGGTTCTTTGATACTGCCTTTGTAAAAAAAAATGTGATTGATTCAGAATTCAAAATATAGGAAAATGAGGGGAAAAAGAGTAAGATGATAATTACTCAATAGAAACATGGCTGGAAGGCATAATTGTATGTTTTCTTTCTTTTCTTATTTGTTTTCTCTCTTTCTCTGACTTTGTATCTCATTTTTTGTTTGCTTTGTATAATGATACTCTATAGAAAAGCATGAATGAATGAATGAATGAATGAATGAATGAACTGTGTGTGTGTGTGTGTGTGCGCAAATGGTTCAAATGGGTTCTGCCTTGCAATTTCTCTTACCTGTTTGTACAAAGGTCAGTAAATGTTTGTTTTTAACATCCAAAAACTTAAATTTGGGTGAAAAGGGGGGGGGGGAGTAACAAATCTGGTTCTTTGAGACTGCCTTTGTAAAAAAAAAAAAATGCGACTGATTCAGGATTCAGAATATAGGAACTTGAGGGGGAAAAATTAAGATGATAATTACTAGAAAGAAAGACGGCTGGAAGGCAGAATTGTATGTTTTCTTCCTTTTCTTATTTCTTTTCTCTCTTTCTCTGACTTTGGATCTCATTTTCTGTTTGCTTTGTATAGTGATACCATATAGAAAAGCATAAATAAATGAATAAATAAATGAATGAATAAATAAATAAATAAATAAATAAATAAATAAATAAATTGTGTGTGTGTGTGTCTGTGCGTGCGCAAATGGTTCAAATGCTTTCTCCCTTGCAATTTCTCTTACCTGTCTGGTTTGAAATCTTCCCTGCTGGACATGGAGTGCAATCATAGCAACAAAATGGTTTCCCATCAATTTTGGTCTTTCTGTAACCAGAATGGCATTTATCACTGCACAGGGAAAGAGGTTGCACCTTCCACAAGTGAAAGAAGAAGATGGTAAGCCATTCAGAAAACAAGCTTTCGAGATGGGTTGCAGTGAGGGTTGAAACTGGGCCCACCAACAGCCCAAAACCCTGAGATGCACAGGAGAAAACATTGACAACTGGATTCACTTGTGTGACATGAAGAGACAAAGGTGAGGAAGGCAACAGGGAGAATGGAAATTGTGCACGCCCTCTGAACTATCTATCAGCAATATTCAAGAAAGCTTCTGCCCTTTTAAGAGCATACCTGGCTATAAGAATACAGCCTTGTCTAAAGCTGTGCCTAGAACTAGTCAAAGCAGTAGCAGAAAGCACATCTCTGAGGCAAACTCAAATTCTGACCAATCCAGGGGATAAAATCTCTTCTTTTCATGTACATGAAGTCATAAACTAAGAATCCTTTAGAGCATGAGTAGAGAATGCCATCTCTCCCTTCACTCCCCCCCTCCCACATTTATTTAGGATTAATTTTGCCTTTTTTTTTTTGGTCATTTTAATATTTCCTGATATACTTTGGCCTACTAATTCTGTCTATGGATATGGAAATTTTTATTTCTTTATTTCTTTGATTTCTATAGCAGCCCATTGCAATGAGTGACTCTGGGTGGCTTTTAAAGGGGTGAGTACAAACAGCACCCTTAAAGCCATCCCATTCTTTGTTAAAAATGCAGAAATGGGCACAGACATAAATCTGTGATAATTTTCAGAAGTCAAAATACCTACAGAAATGGCTGCTTTTGCCCTTTATGCTTAAGGAAATGATGTAGTATTGTTTGATTTATTAGGTTCCAGATGTGACAAGGGAGGAATACTGAAAGCGGACCTGAGCGGTTTGTTCACTTTATAAATTTACAACCAAGCAATATTGCAGAATATTACAGAGATAGATGGAGTATAAAGGGCATAAGGAATCTTTATTGTGTTCTAGAATCTGGAATTTGAGGAGGCTATTTTTGAAATATTCTCCAGCAAAGAACATTTGAAATGTTCTCCAACAGGTCAGGCTCTCCTACAACGTTTACAGGAGAAAAGGGATAGAGAAGTAATGTACTAGATTTTTTCCAGGTGTTTTTTTTTAAGCCTTAGGTCAAAATTTGATTGAAAACAAAAAACTAAAAGTGTTACTTGATGAGAAACAACGCTATTTCTTTCCATGAAGATCCAGCTACATTGCAACACTGGGAAAAGAATTAAACTAGACATCAAATGATAGGAGCTCTACCTGATTGAACCAACTGGGCCAGACAATGTCATCATCAGAAACAG